TTTAGATCAAAGAACAATTTGACCTTGCTCTTAAGGCCAATCCTTCAAATGTGCATCAATGTCATCTTCTTTCTCCTGCTCAAGAAGTAGACGTATACAATTGCCTTCTTTATTTCTTGCTCATCAATATTTTCTCTTCTCCTGTATCAGTCCTATCAGCATAAAAGCATGTTGTAAAGATGTAAAGAAACAACTTTCTTTAAATCTATATTGTTCTCCACTACCACTCCATTTCTCTTTAAATAAAAACTCACAGATATGTTGTCTCTTTCTCCATTTCCTCCCCATCTCTCTTGAATGCACTTCAGTGGATCTTACATTCTTATCACTCACCTAACACCTTTATTATCAAGGTTACCAATGACCTCCAATTGCCAGATTACTCAGTTATCAGTTTAAGTAGCACCTTATCTTTGTCTCAAAGCAACATATTCTTGGAGTTTTCTCTTACCTTACAAGACATGTTTTCTCAGTTTATTTTGTTGCATTATTCTCACAGTGCTAGTATTTATTGGCACAATTCAGTGTTCAGTCCTTTGAACATCTCTTACTTGATTGATTTCCTAAGTGCTCTTATCCTGTATCATGCCTTTACAAATACACACTCTTTCATGGTTTTATAGAACATCTGAGACTGGGACTCCCAGATTATTATCACCAGCCCTAGTGTCTCTATTGAACACACCACTCACTTGAATATTCAGACCCAACTCAATATCTACACTGGAATTAATAGAAATATCAAACTCGATGTTTTTCAAACCCTTGATTTTCTCCCCTTGTAACAATGCTTTTTCAAAGTTTCCCATCTTGGTAAATGTCACCCCCAGTTACCCAATTGTTCAAGCCAAAACATTAGAGTCACCCTTGAGTCCATTCTTTCTCATAAACCCTTCATTTCAAACTTTTAAATATATTCTGAATTGAACTACTCTCCCTAAGGAGCAGTCTACATTCCCATTACTTTACTTTTCCTTTTCTTTATAGAATTTGTCGCTGCCAAATCATATTAAATAGTATTTATTTACTTGTGTATTTTGTGTTCCCCCCACTAAAATATAAGCTCTACGAAAATGGGAGTTTTATTAGTTTTGTTAACTGTTATATCTCTAGCATCTACAGCAGTGCCTGGCAGAAGCTAGCCATGCTCAATAAATATTTGTTAAATGAATATGCAAATACTGAGGCAGTATATATATATTTTTCTTTTTAGGAGACAAAATAAATGTGCTTCTTAAGACCTCATGCTTTTAAACAGGAACTACTTTATGAAGAGGAGTTATTTAAAGGCAGTTTTTAAATGAGCCAATATCTATTACATTTAACTCAGTCATTACAAACTTACAACTTGGAAGGACATATCTAAATTAGGAAAAATGTGTTTATATAGCTAAAGTAGTTCCATCTTGCTATAATTAGGAAGGAGACTAAGAAATTAAAAATAATGTGAATTGATCATCTCTAGACTATCTGCTAATTCTAATCATTCAATAACTAAAATTTTGAATGAATTATTCTCCAAAATGTTGAGATTCACTGATAATGTCCTGCAATAATTATCAATTAAACTTATTTCATTGTCCTGATTAAAAATCACAATGTGTTATTTATTTCACTTTGCATATTGAAATACATGATAATTTTCACACTGTGGACAAAAAGGGGCCACATGCTAACCTGACTACCACAGGAAAGGCCTGCATGGTGACTTTGCAAACTCAAAAAGTGAGCCGCTGATTAATATGACATATGTGATAGGAAGTAATCACTTTCTGACCATACAAAGCACAAATACATGTCTCTATAACTGGTTTTTTATGCCGCTGACATAGGAGGGGTGTTGAAGCAGGTGAGGACAACTGTCCTTGTCCAGTAAGAATGAATTGATAGCCTAGGAGAGGTTTATTCAAGCCGAGTCTTGGTTCTCTAGGTTAGAATACTGACTGCGTGCTTTTTTGTGCTTCAATCTTTTCTATGTGGAAAGTTAAAAATAATGCAAGAAATGGAGAGTATAGTGGCTTGCAATTTGTATGAGCTAGAGATACTTTCACCAGAAAGGTGACATTCAAATAATGCCTAAAAGGAGGTGAGCAAGTTGGCCATATATCTGGGATAATAATTCCAGGAAGAATAAAGAGCCTCTGATTGAGCAGCTTACCTGGCTTGATCAAAAAGGGGCAAGTAAGAAGTGCACCATGTCTGAAATGAGATGCAGGAGGATGAGAGTAGTTAGGAGATGAAGGAAATTAGGTCGAATCAGGTAAGGCTTTAAACACCAGGACACAGGTTTTGACTTTTACTCTGATTGTAATGAGAGCCTCTTGGAAATGGGCAGAAGATGGACTTGGTCTGCCTTAATATTGTAAAGGTATAATAACTCCGACTGCCATATTGAGAGAGACTAAAGAAGAGGAGGGGATAGATGGAAGTGACAAAACTAGTTAGAAGGCGATTGAAATGATCTAGTTAAGAGATGATGGCTGCTTGGGGCAGGATGTTAGTAGTAGTCACTGTGAAATGGTGGGATTCCTGATAAGTTTGACATCTGAGTCAAAGAGATTTTAATGATACTTTGGATATAGGATAGGAAAAAAGAGGAATTGAAGATGTTCAAATTCTTTTGTACTTCCTAAGTAGCAAAAAAGCTACCTTTATAATATAACTAGAGCCCTGATGCACGAATTCATGCAAGGGGCTTGGCCCTCACAGCCCTGGCAGCCTTGGTTGGCCCTCGAAGACACGGCTTTATCCTGAAGGTCGTCCAGAAGGACATCCAGAAGGTCGTTCAGCTATTTGATCTAATTAGCATATTAGCTCTTTATTATATAGGATTAGTGATCTGGTGCACAAAATTTGTGCACAGGGGAGGGGAAGGGTGTCCTTCAGCCCGGCGTGTACCCTCTCCAATCTGGGACCCCTCAGGGGATGTCTGACTGTGGGATCAGGCTTAAACCAGCAGCCAAACATCCCTCTCGCAATCCGGGACCACTGGCTCCTAACCCTTCACCTGCCTGCCTGCTTGATCACTCCTAACCACTCTGCCTGCCGGCCTTCTTGCCCCAACTACCCCCCCACCAGCCTTCTCGCCCCCAACTGCCCCCCTTGCCAGCCTGATCACCCCCAACTGCCCCTCCCTTGCCAGCCTGCTCACCCCTACTGCCCCTTCTGCTGGCCTGATGGCTCCCAACTGTCCCCCACTGCTGGCCTGCTCGCTCCCAACTGCCATCCCCCCGCCAGCCTGATCACCCCCAACTGCCCTCCCCTCCTGGCCTGATCACCCCTAACTGCCTCTGCCTTGGCCCCGCCACCATGGCTTTGTCCGGAAGGACATCCGGAAGGTCTTCTGGAAGGTCTCCTGGTCTAATTAGCATATTACCCTTTTATTAGTATAGATAAGCGATTCTCACCTGTGGTCACGACCCCTTTGGGGTCGAACTACCCTTTCACAGGGGTCGCCTAAGACCATCGGAAAACACATATATAATTACATATCGTTTTGTGATTAATCACTATGCTTTAATTATGTTCAATTTGTAACAATGAAAATACATCCTGCATGTCACCACAACATGAGGAACTGTCATAACAGTAGCAAAATTATAGTTATGAAGTAGCAACGAAAATAATTTTATGGTTGGGGGTCACCACAACATGAGGAACTGTATCAGCATCATTGCCATAAAAATAACTCACAGCATTCCCTTTATTTACTGCTAAACAATTTTTAATGGTTTTTCTTTTGTCTTTTTTTTTTTTAATTCTCACCCGAGGATATATTTATTGATTTATTTTATTTTATTTTTTAAGATAGAGGAAAAGGAGAGAGAGAGAGAAACATCAATTGGATGCCTCTTATACTTGCCTAAACTGAGATCTAAACCGCAACCTAGGTATGTGTCCTGACTGGGAATGGAACCCATTACCTCTTGATGTACAGGTTGACATTCCAACCAACTGGACTACACTGGCCAGGGCTAGCCAAACACTTTGAACACTAATTTTATATTAGACTAGAAGCCCAGTGCACGAAATTGGCGCACTTGGGGGGTCCCTCAGCCCAGCCTGCACCCTCTCGAATTCCAGGAGCCCTTGGGGGATGTCTGACTGTCACAGAGGCGGAAGAGGCTTCTGCCACCGCCGCTGTGCTTGCCAGCCATGAGCCCAGCTTCTGGCTGAGTGGCATTCCCCTAGTGGGAGTGCACTGGCCACCAGGGGGGCAGCTTCTGCATTGAGCGTCTGCACCCTGGTGGTCAGTGTGCATCATAGTGACAGATCATTCCGCCGTTAGGTCGATTTGCATATAAGCCTTTTATTATATAGGATTTACTATTACCTTCAAATATTAAAGGTATTGAAATTCTAGGCAATTATCAATACTAACACAAGCAAAAATGCATTGTTCAATAAGTAGTATTGAACTAGTTGCTGTTCCATTTAGAATCTTATTTTCCTGACCATAGGGAAGAAATGTGGAAGGAAGTAGCTCAATAATCATAATCTAGACACTAAGGGAATGTGTGATTATTGACTCTTGGGGCCAGTCAAGGAACCAATGAGGCTAAAGTCATTCTTTGTATGAGCCTGTGAGCTTTGCATGTTCTGATCCAGAGCATGTATTTCTGACCTCCTATATCCACCTCAGAAAAGCATGCTCTTGCTCATCAGGGAAACCAGATCCAGCATCATTGCCATAAAAATAACTCACAGCATTCCCTTTACCTACCAGCAATGGAAGTAAACAGCAAGTTCTTATATTGTGACAGCCCATTTCAACTGAGGAAACAAAGAATACAAAATGCTCAGTGGACCATTTTCCTTAGAGAAGTGAACTGAAATATATACTTAGTGAAGCATACATAAAGGTTATTAAGAAATGTTTTTATAAGTATTTTTTATTTTAAAGATGCATTAAAATACAGAATAATTCAATAAATAATGCAAAATTGTAAAAAGGGACTTTTTGTCACGGAACTCACTTTTCACGTTCTCTTTTATCCCAGAACCTACAGACAGGCCACCTATGCTGTTAATTGCAAATTCTGAAACCATTGAGGTCTTCTATCTTAATGGAAGTAAAATGGCAACCCTGACCTCAGTCAATGGAAATGAAATTCATGCTCTGGATTTTATTTATAATGAAGATATGATTTGTTGGATTGAATCTAGAGAATCTTCAAATCAGCTCAAATGTATTCAGATAACAAGAACAGGAAGATTAACAGATGAATGGACAATCAATATTCTTCAATCCTTCCACAGTAAGTGTTTCAATTCATATTATATGCCACCCTTTAACGATTTTTTTTTGCAGACCAGTAGAAAGGATTCTTAGATTTTCTAGCATAATTTATGGCTATGGGGAGCTATATATGCAAGTATGAATGCACTTAAATATGTGCACTATGTGTTTTGCATATACTCACACATACATGTATAGTTTCACTGTTTCCATAAGTAGTGGATTGCATAGGTAGTTTTAATTCTTTTTTAATGCTTATTACAGTATCACCTCAATGAGAACTGTGATTTCTTTCACTGAATGGTAGTTCACAATGTGATAGTGAAGGTGGGATTTTTTTTTAAAGCAAGAAACAGAATTGATTATTGTAAGCTTATCAATTATAGAGTTTGTTAAAATACCTTGAAAACTATTAGTTTTATGCTAAGTGGTAACTACTACCTGTGTTTGTTGATACTTTTCCCTAGCAAATCAATTTTATACACTCTTCTTACAAGACTGATTTATGATGTATAATTCACGTTGATTTCTTATGCCAGAAATTCACAAACTATCAACTGTTATTTTATTCCTGAATGTTACCATAAATTTAAATCACATTGTTGCATACACATATCCATTTATGTTTTGATTTACAGAAAAAACTTATTCTTACAGATATTGCTAACATAAAAATAGGAAGAGAAAGGAAGAAAAATGTACAATTAAGTTAAGAAGAAAGATAAGTTCTATAATAGAATAAATTTAGTTTTCAGGTATATAATGTTTTATTATTTGGCTTTAATAATCATATTTTATTAATGTTTTTGTCATACAATTAAAGGAATTGGTTATTGATCCTTATTAAACGTAAGAAAATAGTATGATGTAATGTTAAATAATCATGATTAGATTAAATGAACCAGTGTCAAATATTATTAAAATGATTGTATGTATTTACATAGACAGAAATAAATGTTTAACAAACAGAATCCAACACTCTGAAGATCCTCTTAAATAAAACAATCAATGAAGCCATTTATTCTGGCAGTGTAGCAAAGTGCCTAGTGAAGGCAGTTAACACTGGCTAGTTCAAGGATTCTCTGGATAAATGATAATTCATAATAAAGAGTAAGTAACAAGTGGAAGAAGCACAAAGACTACTGCCGTATGATTTGAGTATTACAGACACTGGCTTAGATTTCAGGTGGAAATTGAACAAAGGCCTCCAATCCTTGCCATGTCAGCGATTACCTCAAGTAATCCAAATGTATTTGTCCCTAGGAAATGGAATACTGGTAGTCACATAGCTACAATAATCACTAACTTGTCAGGTAAAATTATTATCTGAACTTATTTAAGTAACTTTTCCTCTCTATATAGTATATTCTAATAATTGTAGTCATCCTTCTTTAATTTGTATTTTTTAAAACAACACATTTAAAATAATCTGGGGATGATCAAGCAATGGTACATTGTAATGTTTATAGAAAAGAATTTGTAACTTAGATTTTATTTGATTTATAAAACAATTCTTGGAAAAACCTAGAAAAAATAAAGAGATATTTTTAGGCAATTTATTGAAATGTTGAAGAGAACATTTATTTTGATCTATAAAAATTAAAGTCAATGGCAATGTTTTAGTTAAAATAAATAATTTTTATGAAGTCATATTCGAACTGTGCAATTTCAGTCACTTAAGGAGAATTGATTAATGTGTGGAAGAAATTCAATAATGAGAGTGGAGGGAGGTGTGAGCAGGGCTGGGCTCCTCTATCATTGCTTATAACTTATGCATTTCATCAACATGTCACAGAAGAGCTGTCATTGGATGTGATGGGCACTGCATTCACCATGACAGTTTGTGAGTTGATAATGAAATAAGAGTATTCCTTGCATGTATAATTACATGAAAACCTCTGTTACACCATATAAGCAAAAATTATGAATTGATGGGAATATGTCTGAGTACCTGTCACTACCCACTGTTTCAGAGTTTATCTCTTTAGCTTACCCTACTCCATTATTTTTAGATGCTTTTCTCTGAATTTACCTACAGAAAATATCATTTTTTCAAAAAAATATAAAAATTTTATTTTTCAAAGGATTCCTATAAGGAGAAACTCAATCATTATAGGTTAGACTGACTTGCACTTAAAACTTGCATAATAATAAATTGAAAAACAATTTATTGTGATATTACATTTTTTATTGCTTAGCTCATCTCATGCATACCCAACACATATCTGTGGAGTAAGCAGGAGAGATATGCTCTTCCTGTTTATCATAGATAAAACAACTACAAAACTCAGTTGTATTAGGCAATACTGAGTATCTATAAAGAAGGCAGAGATAGGACATCCAAATCCTATATTTTTTCTTCTACATTAGAATGGCAAATACTGTCCATTCAAAGAACTTCCCAAGTCTTCCACAAATAATAATATCTACAACTTAATGAATGACCATATGCAATAGGGAGACATTGTTTTTCCCTTTAGGCTGAAGGAAAAATTGGGACTCTTGGAAACTACATAGCAGCCTACAACAAATATTGGATATGGGTTTGAGCTAGGTCAGACTTCATGACTTTTGCTAAGCACCAATCTGCCCTATTGGGCCTCAACTATTGATTTTCATTTTAGCAAGCCAAATCGATTAGATGCACTAGCATTAGCAACAGCAGCTCACAAAAACAGTCTCTAAATGGAAAAGAGGTATAAGAATCTTGGAAAGGGCCCTAACCGGTTTGGCTCAGCGGATAGAGCATCGGCCTGCGGACTCAAGGGTCCCAGGTTCGATTCTGGTCAAGGGCATGTACCTTGGTTTCGGGCACATCCCCAGTAGGGGGCGTGCAAGAGGCAGCTGATCAATATTTCTAGCTCACTATCCCTCTCCCCTCCTCTTTGTAAAAAATCAATAAAACATATTTTCAAAAAAAGAATCTTGGAAAGGGAGTGAATGAGATGAGTTGTAGAAGCCTATGTCACTTGAAAAGGTTTACCAAATGATTCTGATATGGCCCTCTAGAGAGGCCTACCTCTAACATTGATAAATACTCCTAAGAAATATTGTGAAAAATTGAAGAAGAGTGATAATCATATACTTAATAAATTATATTAATTAACTAAGGAACATTGGGGAAAATGATAGAGATTATATTTCTCATTGGATTTTATTCTTTTTAAAGACACCTGTATTTATTAACTAGCATTTTAGCCTGATAGTTGCAGATTTTGAAAAAAAAATTTTGAAAGTGAATGTTTTGTAAACAAAATTGTTTCTCTAATAAACTATTCAAAGAAAGCACATTTGCAATAACTAATTATTTTCCAAATATTTCCTGGAGAGTACTATTGTAGAGACACAAATGCACACATTCAACAAAAATGATGGGGTTCACAAAAGTAGTGATATCCAGTGGTTTCCTTGGGACAAAGTGCACAGAGATTATTGAGACAGATAAGAATATTTTCTGGGCTAATCCCTTATTAAGAAAGATGATTCAGAACCACATTGTTCTCCCCCAGGTAAACAGTAGACACTTTCATTCTCTATGTTACTCTCCAATATTTTGCAAAATTTGTTATCATTTTTCGGATTCTAATATGGAGTTGACCAGCTTGTCTTGATTATTTCATGGACTCAGTTCCAGTCCAACAGACTATGCCTGGACACCAATAAAGGATTGTTTATTCTTTATAGACTTTGCTTCAGAATTAGCCCATTCCCTTGCTTTGGGCCTGTTTCAGCCGTAGCTAATTTACTACGTGAATCTCTGACTAGATCTATTAAACTGAATTCTTGATTGGATAACTTTTGGATTTTGACACTTTACCTTTGTCTTTTATCAGTCTTACTTATTTCCCTTGTGTTAGCAATTCTCTAATAACCACATTACATTAATTTACTGAATATTATCTAGCACATTAATAATTCTGCATATATACATCATTGTTATCACAAAAATTACATGAACTGTATACAGTTTATAATTGTCAGTTTGTAGATGAGAAAATGAACTTAAAAATGAAAATTTTTAAGTTAAGAAGAAAATTTGCCTCTTGGTCTCAATAAGTACTAATCAATGACTTTCTTGATTATAAAATACTAGCGGCCTGGTGCACGAAATTCATGCACTGGGGGGGTGTCCCTCAGCACAGCCTGTACCCTCTCCAATCTGGGACCCCTCAGGGGATATCCGACTGCCGGTTTAGGCCCGATCTCTGTCCGGCAATCGGACATCCCTCTCACAATCCGGGACTGCTGGCTCCTAACCACTCACCTGCCTGACTGCCTGATTGCCCCCAACTGCTTCTGCCTGCCAGCCTGATCACCTCCTAACCACTCCCCTGCTGGCCTGGTTGATGCCTAACTGCTCCCCTGCAGGCCTGATCGCCTCCCAACTGCCCTCCCCTGCCAGCCTGGTCACCCCCAACTGCCCTCCCCTGCTGTCCTGATCACCCACAACTGCCCTCCCCTGCTGGCCATCTTGTGGTGGCCATCTTGTGATGATGTGAGGGCGCCAGGGCCACCTAGGCTTTTATTAATATAAATTCCCTACTGGCCTCAGTTCAGCCTAGGAATTTAATAGTCTTCACTTTTCACAAGCATCATCTATCAAGTTATGGTTGGACAAGAATAATCAGGCTGTGTCCCTATTGAAAATGCAGATATAATCTTGTGATACAATAATCTACCTATAACTGTACAAACACTAATTCCAAATTAGTCAACTCATAGTGAGTCTGCACTTCAGAAGATGATTATGCAACTTTATAGCAACACCTTATAAGATTTTGTTGTCAAATTAGTGTAGGAAATTTTACATGCCATATAACTTAGCAGCTTCCCTTTTACCTCAGGATAAAATAAGATTTTATCATCTGTCTTTTCTGCAGGCACCTGACCTACCTTGCCTGTTCCCGCTCAAATCCCATGGTCCACATAAAAAGCAGTACTTACACTTATATGACACTTATTTTTCTGTTTTCAATGTATGTTTGTATAATCTGCTTCTTCACCTAGAAAATAGGTTCT